TTTTACATTTTTTTTCTTATTCTCTTGGAATTATATAAAAAAATTATCATTAAAAAAAGAAAATTGCCTAGGCACTCTAAACTCTGGGTTGTGGGCAACCGCCCGCCATTGCGTAGCGTTTTATGCAACCTTGGAAAAAATTTATGAGAAACTTCTTTGTTGAGAATGTTATACAATCATACGTTGGTGGGTACCAACTCATCTAAGATCTTGTTGGTACAATACCCTTTTTTGTTGTTTTGGTTTTTAGACAACTTGGTAAATAGGTATTGTACATTCTGTTTCACATAGATTGATCTCTGCGATGCCTATGCCCGTGCTTGTTTAATGCTCCGTCGACCTCAGCGATGTATCATTTGTATATGGTATTTGGCTTAGTTTCTACAATATTTGTGGCATTGCATTATATCATCCATGGCCTCTTTTTCTGAAAACCTACATCTTCTCTGATGAAATCTACTTTTATGACCTCTGATTGTGCCACTAAAATTCTATACCATTTAACCTGGTAGTTTTGTTTCGTTACATGAACAACAAACAGTTCATTAGTCCAGAACAGTTAAATAGGTTTTCCTAATATTGATCATTTATAAGCTTGTTGTTTGTTGATAGTCGTGCTGGCCTAGGTTGATAACTGATATATGTTATGTGGCAAGTAAATGATATACTTTGATTCCTATAATGCTTTTCAAGATCAAGTCATATCAGACGCCTTCGACTTGTACCTTGCCATTGGGTTTCAGATAAGGGATTGTGCAAAGCAGTTAAGAAACTTGCCTTCATGGAAGAACTAGACATTTCATACTGCTCTAGTTCAGCGGCTGCTTTGATAGTTGTTGGTCGTCGTTGCCTTCATTTGAAATCATTCAAATACAATAAACAGGATAGATGTCGTTATGGATTCACTAACATGTATGGCTCTCGGGATAATGCTGCAAAAGCTATTGCAAAAAATATGCACGAATTGCGCCACCTCCATCTTTTTGGGAATAAACTGACAAATTGTGGCTTGGAGGCCATTCTCGATAGTTGTCCTCACCTTGAATCCCTAGACCTGAGCCATTGTTTCAGTGTTAGTCTGCAAGGGGATTTGGAGAAAAGATGTGCCAAACAGATCAAACACATACAGCAACCCAAAGATTCTACTCAAGACTGTTATGATGTTTATCACAAATCTGCTTTATATGATGATTCTGATGAAGATGACCCATCCGAATCTTCTTACAGTGATTCAATGTCTGATGGGGACTATGTTTACCAACTTGAGTAATCAGATAGTGATTACCCCGTTGAGCCCTACAATTATGACTCTTTTGATGAATACTTTTAGGATGATTGATGAATTTTGAAGATGAAGCAGAAACTCGATGAGGGTATGTAGATGTTTTCTTTTCCCACATAGCAATTTTTTTTTCCTTTTCTAATTCCTTGCTTTGATAATGAAAAAACATAAGATATGAGGCTCTATATTGATGATTGCATTTGAGATTCGCAGGTGTATAAGATAGGGCATTTTGTCTGCCATTGTTTGAGGATCAAGATAAGCCAAAAGCCAAATACCAATCTGGAAGATTTCAGATGAGGGATTCTGCAAAGCAGCTTCAAAACTTAGTTTGCTCGAAGAACTGAAATTTCATTCTGCAAAAGCATTGAAAGTTGTTGGTTGCTGTTGCCCTCACTTAAAATCTTTCAAATTCAACAATGAGGATATACGCACAGCATTGAGTCCGACGAGGAAGCAGAAGCAGAAGTTATCACAACAATGGATGAATTATGCTGCCTCCAGCATTTTGGGAATAAGCTGACAAACCATGGCTTGTGGGATGTTCTTGATGGCTTGTAGATACTTTTTTGATGTTACTACAATGCCACTCTAATCAAGTTGCATCTTTTAAGGCAAGTTCCTATTTTTATTGTGAATGCTGCATATCCTGCAACAGTTTTTGAGAGGCTCCTTGTTTTGCTTCGCTCCTAATAAGTAATAACTAATCCTTCTGTAAAACAGCCGTTTGCCTTTGATGGGCTTTTGCTATTAATTCTACACTCTTTTGGTCTTATGGGCTCTGGATCTGTTAGAATCAAGGAGTTAGTATTAGGAGGCCGGCTAAATTAGCCCAACGAGTCCAATTTTTCTGAAAGGAAAAATTACAATTTGATTGCACAGAAATTCAGCACTGCAAAGTAATGTCAAAAATAAAAACCAATAATCCCTAAAAAGGGGCAATTAATTCAGTGTTGTTAAAATGTTTTTTAAACTTTAAACAACCAAACATTTTTTCTTTTGAACATGGAGGAATTTGGGGAAGAGAAATTAGTTTTACAAAGATTAGAATCAAAGTTTTAGGATGCGTTTAAAATTATTGTGAAGTGTTGTAACTGTAACTGTGG